CCCTGCAAAGCTGGCCATGGGGTCAGGGATGCCAAAAAGAAGACCTTTGGAAACAGAATGTACATGAAATGACAAGGATTGAGAAAGAGCCCCAATTTAATTTAATTATCCTTCTGCTGAACAATGAGCGTGGGGAGGGAAATTCTCACCATCCCAGAGTAAATTAGTTTCTTACCGATCAACAACTGCAGTGGTTGGAAGCCATCACCAATAGTGTATAATCAATTATCTAGATTCAAACCATTTAACATTTTCCTCTCTCTCCCTACCACACAATAATTATTATTGTTATTATTTTATCATGAAGTAATAGCTTTTTGAGGCCATTTCACCTTGATGGATTACAAGACTGCCTTAAATGTCAATTGATAATAATTATGCCATAAAAAGCACAATAAATGTTATTGGTTTAAACCCACAGTGCCATTCTATTAATATTTCTAATTTACAGGCTCGTTGGGACATTTTACAGAGACAATGGGGGTAATAAATCCCAAGGGAAGGCTGAATGAGCTGTCGAGTAGATTGTCGGCAGCCATTAAACTTGAGAAAGTTTTAAAAAAAAACCTGGCCTAGGTACAGCCTAAAGTCCAACAGGACACAAAACTATCATTGTGAAAATATTATGTGTCTCAGGGTCAAACTACACATGATGTGGAAGTTGGAGAACTGGAACTCATAACATCTTATTGAACATAAAGCAGACAGGCAAGGTGACTTTATTTTATTTTTAACCAAAAGGACATTGGGAGATTCTATCATGTGCGGCAGATGGGCCATAGAGCTTCCCCCAGAGACTTGGGAGGGCCACCCCAGTAGATCCACATCTTGTGGAGGACCCACAAGGCTCGACCTTGTCATGTGTCAGCCACCACCTGAAGGCTGAAAAGGGAGATACATCGAGTGCCTAAGCCAAAACCGACCTACATCTTGAAGCAATTGTCTTGCCAAAGGTGGGTCTTCTTTTTGGAATTCAGAAGCAATACAAAACACAGGTTAGTGAGAAGAAGAAGCTTTTATTCCTAAACAGCAAGCAATATATACATACCAGGTATGAACTTCTATCTGCCACTTGGAAACCCTCAAGAAGTGGCAGACTCCCCCAGGTAGCCTTAATTAGCATGGCCCTGCAGCCAATCAGTTCATACATGAGCTTCTAAATCACTCTGCTCAAACCATTTGATTTTATAGATAGCCACCTCCTTTCAATGCCCCACCCTCCAACAACTATTTCCAACACTAAAGAAGGTTCCCAGCACTAACCTCCCAGACTGATTAAGACAACTGGGGGGGGGGCTTCACTTCCTCCCAACTGATTAGGACATCAGAGAAGATTCTCACACCTTCAAAAACTTAATAGCTGCCAGGCAGGGGGAAGGAACAGAGGGAGGAAGGGTAACCATGTTAGAATCACTACCTCCTCAATATACAATTGGTCTTCTGGTTCAGATTTTCCCATACAGCAATGTAGTTGTGGCCAGAACATTGTCTTGTCCAGTTTGTACACCTTCCTAGACTAGCTATTGCTACCGGGAGGGGTCACTTCAAGAGGGTCTGCAATGAAATGCTTAAGAAAAGGGTCTCCACTCAGTTTGTATAAACATACAGCAAGCATGCTTCACAATAAAGAACATGGGCATCTGTAGAATGACTGCCAGAGTTGGCAGACTTGTTTTCCTGAAGCCAGATTCCCAGCTGCTTTATCAAGCTATGAAGTATTCTTAAGCACAGTCTCCTTTTCAGTGCCAGAGGAGAGGAGCACGTATATTGGGGAAATGTTTGCTGAGGAAGATGCTAATTCTTTGTCCTTAAATAATCATGGATTGTTCACATACTGGCTGACTAATATGCCTAGATCCCTCTTTATGTGCTTCCTTTATGTTTCCGGAGGAAAGGTTGCACAAACATTTGCTGTTTTACAGGGTAACAAACAGAGTGGCTTTGTGCGTTACTCTGTAGAGGACAGCCCCGTACTAGGAACCATCGTCAATGGTCAAGGAGTCCAACATCTGAAGGGCCGCAGGTTTGTCACCCCTACAAAAAATAAAATATTTATTTCCTTAGATGTTTCTCCTTAGATGTTTCACATTTGTCTTTAGATGAACATTTCAGTGATAACCAAGGCCCTTGTTGCTTCCGGCTCTACTTGTTTCAGACAAATGGAGTCATGTGTTGATATTAAGACTGCAATGCTAGCTGTTTTCAGCTTTCTATAGTTAACACAGTAGAACATAGTTGCTCACCACTGTCAGCATATACTCACCTTTAGCCATACTAACTTATTTTACTCTTCTTTAATATCTATCTGCACCTAAAAGGAAGGAAATGACAAATGGGCTATGTTTTAAGCAGTACTGCTGTGTTGAACTCTAAGACTATTTATTTTCACTTCTCTAGGGACTTGCTGAATTGTCTGTATGTTTTCTGTTGTAAAAGAAATCTGCCCTTTTTCCCTTATGGGGTATCCAAGAGCCCGTATAGAGGCCTTACGTGGGTTCCCTATTGCTAGGAGAAAATAACAGAGGCCAACCAGAGGATATTGAAAAGCAAAGCAGCTAGTAAGCCTGATCTTTATTGATCTGTTGCAACAGGGTGCTCCCCTCACACGCAGGAAAGAAGGAGGACCCCGAACAAAGGTCTGCCTGCCCTTATATAGACATTTTAAATTCCCTGCCCTGGAGCTCAAGACCACCCCCCACAAAAATCATACCTACATCACAGAAATTTGAGTGGTGTTGTTTTTCCTGTCTGGCAGGTTTTCTGATAATGCCTTATCTGATTGCCTTTCCTGGTAGTCTGCCCACTCCTTTGAAATGGTATTACGATTACCCACTTCCTGAAACAATGGGAAAGTTCCCTCACGCCCTCCCTCCTTGCAGAGAAAACATTTGGTCAGTTTGGGAGTCAAAATGGTTTCAGGAAGGTCTTCCTGTGCTGCTCCAGACATTGGTACATTTATGAACATTGTGTGTGTGTGTGTGTGTGTGTGTGTGTGTGTACCTTAAAATTACTATATATGTGACCTTAAAATTCTTATAACAATATGTACCTGTTGTTGTTTAGTCATTTAGTCATTTTGTCGTGTCCGACTCTTCGTGCTCTTCGTGACCCCATGGACCAGAGCACGCCAAGCACTCCTGTCTTCCATTGCCTCCCGCAGTTTGGTCGAACTCATGCTGGTAGCTTCGAGAACACTGTCCAACCATCTCGTCCTCTGTCATCCCCTTCTCCTTGTGCCCTCAGTCTTTCCCAACATCAGGGTCTTTTCCAGGGAGTCTTCTCTTCTCATGAGGTGGCCAAAGTATTGGAGCCTCAGCTTCATGATCTGTACTTCCAGTGAGCACTCAGGGCTGATTTCCTTAAGAATGCAAGGTTTGATCTTCTTGCAGTCCGTGGCACTCTCAAGAGTCTCCTCCAGCACCATAATTCAAAAGCATCAATTCTTTGGCGATCAGCCTTCTTTATGGTCCAGCTCTCACTTCCATACATCACTACTGGGAAAACCATAGCTTTAACTATATGGACCTTTGTTGGCAAGGTGATGTCTCTGCTTTTTAAGATGCTGTCTAGGTACCTAGATACCTAGATATGTAAAATTGTGATGGCTTCTTTTTTTCTTGTGAAGGAGGGAGGGTCTAGTTTTTTCCTCTTAGTTTTTCCTCTTTATCTTTTTGTTCTGCTTGCATTCTGATTTACAATTTTAAAAATGCCTTTAAAAAAAAAAGAGCATGAGATACCTTGTCTCCCAAGGGAATGAGATAAAGGCAGCAAGATAAACATCAAACAAGACACTGATAGAGCATCAACAACGGGGCTTAGGCTGCAAGAGTCCTTATTCTTGGCCTTTTCAACAGGTCATGGATCATAAAAATGGGGAGGGCAAAAAGCTTCTGCAAAGGAAAGTAAGGCTAGATTATATGTTATTGGATGGCAGGGAGCAGGTATAGCTGTTCCCCATCCACCTACATGGCAGCCTCTTCTTAATGAGAATACAGCTGCTGTGAAGGGAAGGGGAGAATTTGCAGTGCTTTAATTAAACAGAGAGATGATTGCTGGCAGGATTACCAGCTTCTGTGAAGTAATCCTGTGAAGAAACCAAGCCAATAACCCCTCCCCAAACACATTTACAAAGCCGTAGAATGTTTAATCAATCCTGGTTATAGAAAAATGTTTTTGCCAGGCACATAAAGATATGTAATGAAGGTGCCAGGTTACCCTCACCTGTAGGTTAACCCAGTGTGAGGGACAATGGCTGCATGCATTCAAAGGGGTCTGTAAAATACCTTGACAGCAGAGTTGTTCCTTATAAACAGAACCAGATTAACTGCAATACGCAATAAAACAGGACCTCAACAAAATGGGACTTTTGCAAATTCTTGGGTCTGCCTGGCTTTATTATCACTATTTAAATCCTGCCTTTTGACCTAAATTGCCTCTTCTTGGATGATGATGGTGATTCATTGTGCTCCCAGGCTGCAATACTATAGACACTTACTCGTAAGTAGCCCTCATTGAATTCAGAGGTACTTATTTCTGGGTAAACATGCATAAGATTATGCTATTATGTGAGGAGGCTTATAAGATTAGTTAAAACATAAAATTCCAAATGAAGTTATCTGCAAAGAACTGATAAAGGATTGGTGCTACTTTAGTTATCAGTCTGAAAGATAGTCAATAGCCTATCTTGCTTTGTAGAGTAGAACTTTGATTAGTACATTCAGGCTGAAATCCTATGCCCACTTATTCAGGTCAGGACTAAGCCTCATTGGAATGAATGGGGTTTACTTATAAATAGACATGCACAGGACTGCATATTCAGGCTAAAAACCTGTGCATTCTTCTCTGTGAATAAAATCCACCCAAAGCATGGGATGGTGATATTAGATTAATTAAATATACACATTTTATTCTGCCTGACATGCTGGTGTTCCACCATAATTTCTGTCCCTGGGCAGCTAACTTTAGCAGCCCTTGGAAAAAGCCAGAAGTCTTTCATCTTGTCAGGTGAGTTTTATTGCCACCTTGGTTACACAGTAATTTCAGCCTAAGCTATACAAAGAATCATATGATGGGATATCAGGTAATTGGACAAGTAAGAATGGTCTGTCAGTACAATTGTGGGATAAAGATAATGAAAGGAACCAAAGGTAAGAGCTGACCAAAAGGGTAGTTGACTTTCATGGGGGGGGGGGCGGAATCTTAGCGGAATGTACAAAATTTCATTTAAATGTGTTAAAAACAAGAAGAGAAATCCAAAGGAGTGGGAAAGGAAGATGAGCCTCTGAGGTTCTTCCTCGTGGAGCTTACATGGAGAGGAATCTCTAACCTTTGGGATGTTTTTCAAGCAAGATCTGTCGAAGTATTAACAGCAGGGGAAATGGCTCTTCCATTTGCTCAGGCATTCTAGGAATCTTTTTATATATTTATTTTTCATCATTGCCATTTTGGCAAAAGCTTTTTGCAAAGCAGCAGTTTTGGGACTTTTTGCCGAGTTGTAAAACTTGACAGAAGATAAAATTCCCAAATCATTTCAGAAAGGATAAATAGTATGAAGGTCCCAAGAAGCTTGTTTATTTATGCTCAAGACTTTCAAAGACTTCCCAAATAACCTTGAAGAAAATGATATTTAGTCCAATTGCTTTTTCAAGTGCGATACCGCCTATTGGTTGAAGAAGAATGTGCTGGTTCTTGTTCATTGGTCTCCTTGGAAAGAATAAAAAGGAAAGTAATCATTTCTAAAATTCTTACATGAAGCTTCTCTTTAGTGGGTCTTTCTAACAAGATCTTGAATCTGTTAAGAAGAACACTCCTCTTGGGATTACAATGAGAGTGGATGTATGAAGAGGCTTAGAAATTTAAATGTGGGGGTGTTGTTTTGATAGGGGTGGGGCTGCACACACTGCTTCTATTTGGTTGTCATGCTGTTACTTCTGACTCAATTTTTTTCTAAATATTGTAGCAGATTTCAGGGATCCAAAAGAGAAAGTGGGCTTCATTCCTCCTCCCGTCTTTTGAATTAGTCTGAGTAGGTGTCGGCAAGGAGAGAGAAATCAACATTTATTTGCCTTTTCCTTGCATAAAATGAACAACAGCAAGAGTGTGGTATACACAGTATATTCTCCATATCATCATATATAAATTTGACTCTGCGTTTCCACCTTCATAATGGAGAAAAGGATGAGTGACTCAAAGGAACGTGATAACGGGGAGAGGCCCATCCTACATTTTTCTATTGAAGAGATCTTAAAAAGAAAATCCAGGGAGGTCTGCTTACGCACGACGACGATCTGCAATAACCACGCTGAGGATGCTCAAATCCTCAGAACAGAGCCAATTTCAGAAACGGCTAAGGGTAAGTAAGTACCGCTGCTTCTAGTTTATGAAACTTATATGAGCCTTGATCCTCTTATGCCCTTGATCCTCTTATGCCCTTGCATGACTCCAAAGTTTGATTGCTTAAGACAGCCACCAGCCACAATTTATTTCATGACTTAATATCATCATGCTTCGCATTCAAAATTACTTTATTTATGATACCAACGTATAACCCTTTGGGCAAGATGACGGAGGGGTGGAATTCAAATGTGTTCTCCAGGCGGCAAAACACTCCAATAAGTTGGCCTGGCAAGGGCTGCTGAGATGTTGCACCTGTAACAGAAGTGCGCTTGGCAGAGGTTCAACAGGTGCAGCTTTTTCCAACATGAAAAGGCATTGATGACATCCCTTCTACTTGAGAACTTTGACAAACTTCATACAATGAAGCCAAAATTTTGGTCTTTTTGTTAAATAGTTGATCTGGCAACCCTACAATATATGTACAAGTGCAGGTGAAATGGGGAAGAATGGAGCGGGGGAGGGGTGTCCTGACATCACATCCCGACACTATGAAATGAATTGAAATTTGAAATTTCAAGCCACTTTGTTCCATACGAAAATTGCAAAACTGTCAGCCTGAGATTTCAAAGAGATGGGATGCTTGGAAGTGAAAAGGCCCTGCGCTAACATACACAAAGACATGCAACTGCTAATTCTTTAGGAGGGCTGTGCAGAGTGGAAACAGTGTAATTAGCAACTAAGACTGGAAGACCTGAGGTGGTTTCTAGTCTTGTGAATGTATACTTCTGGGTGGCTTCCAACATATATAAAACATAATAAAACATTAAACATCAAATCCTTCTATGATCTGTGACAAGATTAATCTAGAGCTGTTTTTTTTCCAAATGAGATGATTTTGCTGCAAAAAAATCTTTCATCCGTGTAGAAAAAAAGGCATGCACAAAACACGTACACCATATCCTATAGCAAAAGGAAATATCTGTTTTACACGGTTTATTCACGTAGCAGACAGAAGCAGATTTAGGGGAGTGCAACCAGTTCGGATCCATGGGGTGCAGAGCCTCGGAGATGCCTCAGGATACACCACAACTATTATTTATAATGAAAAGAGAGGGGCAGGAGGCACCGAATTTTGGCTTTGCAGAGGGCGCTATTGAAATTCGAGACCCCAAGGTCCACCACTGTGATGGAGACCCACCAACAATTGTGATTTTCCACCATTTATTAAGAGTGTTCACTGACTCTATGCAGCCCAAATTATGAAGTGAATCAGATTGATTCAGGCAAAGTTAGTGTGCTTCCAAGTCAGATCACGCAGTTAACAAGGTGCCTTAAGGCAGATCAGGGTTTTCCTACACTTCCAAGTAGGGATGGAATGAGCTGTCAAGTTCCATTCTCTAAATTTCTCATTTGTCTAATCTTAACTTCAGCTTTCCACATTTCTGCAGCAATTTCTGGTGTTTTTTTATTATAAAACCCTCATGAACCGTATTGGAATTTTAGTGTGACTTTCTCTCATGTAATTCACTTTGTAAATTATTTTCTGTGCTATGTTCATTTTTATGCACGTTTTTCCTAATATAAGCATTTTTGTAAACATTGGTTGACCAATTGGTTGGGAAACTACATTGCAAAATTCGGATAAGCATGAATTTCAAATGGTGGCTATGTTTCGCTTCCCAAATTGTTTCAGAAAGTATGAAATTGATAGATTTGCCTTCAAATGCAGACTGAAATGAATTCCCCCTGTGAACTGCCCTGAGACCTGCGGGTATAGGGCGGTATACAAATTTAATAAATAGCATAATAATAACTGTCCAAAAATTCATTAGGGGGAAATCTCATTCGGTCAAACCCGGGCCTTCTCCTACATGTGGAGTCGTCGCTTCCATAGACAGGGCTAACTGGTGTATTTCCTTTCCACCATCACCTTTGCAGCTAATGGCCTGAGAGCAGTTTCAGCAGAGTTGCATGAAGCGCAGAAATCTTCTTCAAATAGTACTCCAGTAACAAAAGATCTATTGTATCTTTTTTTCCCTAGGCTCCCAAATTTGCATCTGGCTTTCAGTCTGACTTTTCAGTCATTACTTTGAACTAAGGCTTCCAGAAGTGAATTCAACCATCCTATCTTACATCTTGCTGCAAAGGCTGAAGCCAAGGCAATTTGAAACAAACCTCAAAGCCATTTCTCTCCCGATTAGTAACATTTCTCTCAGCCTGCGCCAGGCTAAAATGTCACAATTTCTGGAAGTCAAATGCTACATTTACCAAAGTAAAATGTCATCCTGGCTCCAAAGACCTCCCCCCGCCCAACATTCTGTGTTTCACCTGCTCCACTTTCCCTTTTCCTCAAAGAGAATATTCTAAAGGGTGCAGAGAAAGTTAACATTTTCCTACTCATGTTTTAGAAGCTTATGCAAATATGGGACTAGAAAGGGGCTGAAGAGACTGGCTTCTTAGTATTGTCAGTCAGAAGGGTCAGATGGAAAACTAGGACCCCATTGCAAGAGCTTTTCGGAGTACATTTTTACCCCTGATTTCTTAGCACAGTGCTGACTGGGGATGATGGGAGTTGTAGCTGAAAACATCTGGAGGTCACCAGGTTGGAGAAGGCCAATTTAGAGTCACCGCTTCTTCCTTTTGTCTAGCAGGCCTCCTGTTCAAGTCCATCAGGCCTATCATCACATGCAAGTAGGGGTTCTAGGCTTATTTCCTCAGTTTGGGAATGTGGCAGTGTTACTGGGTAGTTCAGAATCTACAAATTTCCATCCTGAGGGAAACTATCTCAGGCAGGGCAGTGCTCAAAATATCTATCACTAGCAAGACACAAATTGTTAGCACTGGTTCCAATCTGATCAGAAGCTGGAACTGGGGTATGCAGCTGTCTTGTACTAAGTTAGACCCTTGGTCTATCTAGCTCAGAATTGTCTTCAGGAAACTGAGACATGAGTCTGTCCTGCCTGGAGATACCAGGAATTGAACCTGGAGCTTTTTCTATGTAAAACATATGCTGTAGCACTGAGCTGCAGAGTGGTCATGCAACCTACTTTTCAGAGGACAGTCCTCTATTTTTGAAGGTGTCCTCTGCTGAGGGGCTGTCCAGTTCAAGTCTGATTTAAAGAAATCATAAAAGGAGCTTTGAAGTTACCCATCCGCAGTTAACAGCACCTGGTCAGCAGACTGAGCAGGCACACATTGGTCACCTGGTGTTTTCCCCACTATGGTGAGATGTATTATTGGATAAAATGAGAGATTTGCAGGAGGTAGGTGATTTTCATCAGGACCACAGCAAGTAGGGAAAGAGTTCAGCTTTATCTCCTGAACTCCTGCCTTCCCAAACCTAACTGCCCAACATGGCTGCTATTCAACATTCCTCCCCAGCCCTTTCCCCCTACACCTAACTGCAATCTGACCCCGTGGCTGCTATTTGCATTTTTTAAAGTGCACATTAAATTTTAAAAACCCCATAACTTACTGTGATGATTAGCTTGGCTCTCAGACTCCTATCCAATACCTTACCACTGAGTTAGACTGTACTCAAATCCTGTTTGTAGGCTTTCCATAAGGTTCTGGTTGTCCACTGTGAAAACAGGACAATTGTCTAGATGCAGCCTTGGCCTGATGCAGCGGGACTCTTCTTACATTTTCTCTGACTTGCCAGTTCCCCTCAGATCAGCCTCTATAACCCAAGCAATGTGCATTTCCTGGGATTTCACATATGCAGGTCACATTTTATAAGGCTGTTCGGTAAACTTATGATCACAGCTGTAGGGCTTCTGCTAATAGACACTGGGTTATGGGACTATTTTATAAATTAATAACATTGTTGACCATTTCCTCTCTAACATCTTTTGTGGTTTTATTGGTCTTTTCCTAAACTGATCTAAGAACTCGTCATTGCAGCCCAAGGATTTGATTTCTTGGTGTGTGTTTTTTATTATTCCTTGGCTAAGAATTGAGGGCATGCCTTTTATCTGTTGTTTTAACAAGAGTTTTATCTTATATCAGTAAGGAGCAGAGGCCAGGTATACTGAAGTAATGACAAAATTACACTGCAGGAATGGAAAGGGAGCAGGAAACCTGATTGAGACAGAGATCTGAAAGAGGCAAGAGCCTCTGATTGATGTGTAGAGCTTTGTAGGTACAAGTAACAACAGATAGCAACAGGTAGCTTGTAAATGGTCTGACAGAGAAACCTATAATAAATCCAACTTCATTCTATAGTTCTATTTCAAAAACACAAGTATCATCTGCTGTATATTTTGGAAAGTTGACTGTTCCAGGTCTGTGCAGAGGGTGTGGGGCAGCTGGGCACACTGACCCCCAGGCCTCATGGGGCTAAGCTGACCAGGGCCCCCCTGTCAGGGACCAACTGCTTTTTCTTTTAGTTTATAACTTTAGTTTCACAAGACTTCTGCCCTGGGCAAGCTCTGTATGGACTATTTCTGTTCACTATGGATAACCAAATTTTGTGTGATGCGTTTCTGAGATCAAGGAGCAGGCTTTCATCTGAGATCAAAGAGCAGGTTTATGTTGGGTGCCATTTTGATCAAGACAGCAAACTCGACTTTCCAAAACTGCACTGATTTTAACCAAATTTTGCATATCATTTGCTGAGATCAAGGAACAGGTTTTCTTCTATGTTTGGATATAGTTGGGTGCCATCTTGAATCAATATGGTGGAATGAACTTCTCATAACTGTACTGATAATAACCACAAATTTCAGCACTGCACTGATTGTTTGGTTTCTTGGAATTCCCAAGCACAAGGTACAAGGCTGTGAGTTAAATGCAAGAAGGGGCTTGCTGGATCAGACTAAAGACTCTCCAAGTCCAACCCTCTGTTTCTTACAACAGCCAAAAGCCCCCAACAGGGCATGAGAGCAATATTGTTTCCCCAATCTTGCTCCCTAACAACTAGGGAAGGTTGAATTAGTCTATTTCCATCCCATGCCACATTCACTGATGCTTGTCCCATTTCCACAACAATCTGCATTTTTAAAAGAAATGCATTTT